GACATTAACAATACAATTGGACTTGGAGTTGGCTTTATTCTATTTTAGTATTTTAGGCTAGAATCTAGTTGTGAGTAAATTGGTGCTTTGACGTGAGTGAGAATTTTTCCCTCCCCCCCCCCTCCCCCGTATCGGATCCTAACTTTCACACCATGGTACTTCAATAACCAAATTCAAATTTAGGTGAATCTTGGTCTTATCATATTCTTCATATCAGTGCGAGTGTGAAAGAAATTATACTTGTGTTATACCGGTAACGTGGTTTTGTCATAAGCCTACCATGACTGTAGATCTAGGGACTAATCTTTTGTTTGTTAAAAGTTGTTGTGTCATTTGCGCACAGAGACGCTTAAAAGATAAAAGTACATATAAAAATTAGATAGAGAATCTAGATCTAGTTACTTGTCCCACATTTGGGGAGTTTTACACATTTTGTACAAACTTCCAATAAAGTTTTTGTTTCACTGTGAGATGAATGCTCAAGGTACACTACCTCAAAGATTGGACTTCCAGTGAGGGAACCAGTTGTTCACTGATGGTGCCCAGAGGCGCGCGCCACGCGTTTCATTGCAGAAAATACTATTGACAGGTGGTACAGGGAGAGAGAGAGAGAGAGAGAGAGAGAGAGAGAGAGAGAGAGAGAGAGAGAGAGAGAGAGAGAGAGAGAGAGGGGGGGGGGGAGAGCGAGAGAGCGAGACAGACAGACAGACAGACAGACAGACAGACAGACAGACAGACAGACAAAGACTGAGACAAAGAAATGGGGGAAGAAATGTAGATAGACAGACAGTTAGAGAGGGGGAGAGAAAGGGAGGAGAGAAGGAATGTCGATAGATAGATAGATAGATAGATAGATAGATAGATAGATAGATAGATAGATAGATAGATAGATAGATAGATAGATAGATAGATAGATAGATAGATAGATAGATAGATAGATAGATAAAAGGAAGGAATAGATAATAGGGAGAGAGAGAGAGAGAGAGAGAGAGAGAGAGAGAGAGAGAAAGAGAGAGAGAGTGAGTGTTTGTGTGTGTGTGTGTGTGTGTGTGTGTGTGTGTGTGTGTGTGTGTGTGTGTGTGTTTGTATGTAGAGAGGGAGAGAGAGAGAGAGAGAGAGAGAGAAAGAGAGAGAGTGAGTGAGAGAGGGTGGGCGGAGGAGGGAAAGATAATAAGAAAAAAAAAGAAAAGGTGACAGAAAGAAAAAAAAAGAAGGAAAAATGACATGAAAGAGGATAGCGTTAGAGATTAAAAAGGAACCCGTGAAAACGCGTCATTTTGGCTAATGATAATTATCATTTTATAATAGTATTATTCTTATTTTAATTGTAGCAAACTTTTATCTCAGAATAACAGAACAAAACAATTGGCAGTAGTTGTGAACTATGGAAAGCGTCACCAAAAGCTTAGTTTGCATAAGCTGCATCAATGAATGATAACCAAAAGAATACAAATTTTTACAGGCTAAAGATTATGTCTTCAGCAGATCTTCTCGAGTCAGAACACCTAGTAGGTGTATTTTCATACACTTTCACACAACACTCAGAAGGTATATTATTTTCATACATTGTCACACAGACACAGTAGGTATACTTTGTCACACATTGTCACTCAACACACAGTAGGTATCTTTCATACAACACTCAGTTGGTGAATTTTCATACATTGTCACTCAACACCCAGTAGTCATCTTTCATACAACACTCAGTTGGTGAATTTTCATACATTGTCACTCAACCACAACTTGGTATTTTTTCATGAACTCTCACACAGCATTCAGTAGGTATATTTTCAAACACCTTCATACAACATTCAGAAGGTATATTTTCATACATTGTCACAAACACCTTCATACAACACCCAGTAGGTATATTTTTATACATTGTCACGCAAACTCAGTAGGTATATTTTCGTACACCTTCATACAACACCCAGTAAGTATATTTTTTATACATTGTCACTCAAACTCAGTAGGTATATTTTTGTACACCTTCATACAACACCCAGTAAGTATATTTTCATATACAGTCACAGAACAGCCAGTAGGTATCTTTCATACAACACTCAGTAGGTGTATTTTCATATATTGCAACATAACCCCTGGTAGGTATATTTTCATGCACTTTCATACAGCACTCAGTAGGTGTATTTTCATATACTGTTTACCCACGACAAACATAAACCTGACAGGCTTTGGGCGCGGTACCGGCTGTCCCTTATTGCCTTCCGTGCCGGCTTGTGACAAACAAACAAACAAAAAAGGCTAATTCAGACACGCTACACAGGTAAGAACCCGCGTTGAATAGCGAAGGCAATTTGCGCTGACGTCAGGGATACACTTTTTAAACTGTTGTACGTGTGCTCCTACAGTTAAATACAATTATTTTTTCATCTTTTATTTACAGCAGGAATAATTATTACTATACTGGTGAAAAGTGCTGTGTCCTTTCAAGCAAACCACCCCCCCCCCTAAAAAAAATTAATTAAAAAATTACAAAATCCAACACCCCCCCAACAAAAACAAAAACAAAAACAATACCAAAACAAAAATCATCTGACATATTGTTAAGAATTTTGCTTTTCATTCTCCCATACAATTTGAGATGAAGAAGTTTGTCTTGTGCCGCATGGGCTGTACGTGTATACAATAGGGCAGACCACATATTTTTTTAGTGCGTCTCGTTGCTCAAACATTTGCAATGAGACAGAACAATAATATTTCAGATAGTCATGACGATTCCTTAAAATAAAAATCCATCGACATTCCCCAGACAGTTAGACTTACGGGACTAATGTCCTCTATCTCTTCCTTGTCATGTCTTATTTACATTGAAATCGTATCGTGTGTCGGGTTCGTGGTTGAAGAAGAAGAAGAAGAAGAAGAAGAAGAAGAAGAAGAAGAAGAAGAAGAAGAAGAAGAAGAAGAAGAAGAAGAAGAAGAAGAAGAAGAAGAAGAAGAAGAAGAAGAAGAAGAAGAAGAAGAAGAAGGAGGAGAAGAAGAAGAAGGAGGAGAAGAAGAAGAAGAAGAAGAAGAAGAAGAAGAAGAAGAAGAAGAAGAAGAAGAAGAAGAAGAAGAAGAAGAAGAAGAAGAAGAAGAAGAATAATAATAATAATAATAATAAAAAAAATAATAATAATAAAAATAATAATAATAATAATAGTAATAATAATAACAATAACAATAATAATAATTTTGGTTTTAAGTCGTGGAGTCAACGTTATTATTATTTTTTTTTGGTAGTCTAGAGCGTGTTCCTGATAAACAAGACGACAAGTAGGGCACACTATGCCAACCACTGGCAGAAGCGTGACACACATCCCCCATCACCTACGCGAGAACAGGTGCACAAAATAATGCGTACGGAGACGGGGAGGGAAGTGGGAAGAGGAGATGACTCTCTCACACACATCAAAGACCGTGTTGTAGAGAATCTTTGCACATAATTTATAATTTGCACTCTCGCACGCACAAAAACACACACACAGACACACACACACACACACACACACACACACACACACACACACACACACACACA